TGGAGGCTTCAAAAACAAAGGCAGCCTAAGCCTTGGAAGCCCAAGGCCCACATCTTTAAAATATCTACAGCGGTCATGAAAATCAATTTTTTTTTTTTTTAAGTAATCTCCATACCCAAGAGTGGGGTTTGAACTCACGACCCTGAGACCAAGAGTCACATGCTGTACTGACTGAGCCAGCCAGCACACCACGAAAATCAGATTTTAAAACACCACACAAATAAATGTTTATATCTATTATATGTATGCATAACATGTGTATAAGTATATAAAATTGAAACAGTACGAAAATAAATGGAAGAAACTGTATGTTAAGAAGTGCTTTTTTTTTTTTTTAATTAAGATTTATTTATTCGGGGTGCCTGGGGGCTCAGTGGGTTAAGCCTCTGCCTTCAGCTCAGGTCATGAACTCAGGGTCCTCGGATCAAGCCCCGAATCAGCACTCTGCTCAGCGGGTAGCCTGCTTCCCCCTCTCTCTCTCTCTGCCTGCCTCTCTGCCTACTTGTGATCTCTGTCAAACAAATAAATAAAATCTTAAAAAAAAAAAAAGTAGGGACGCCTGGGTGGCTCAGTTGGTTAAGCAGCTGCCTTCGGCTCAGGTCATGATCCCAGCGTCCTGGGATCGAGTCCCACATCGGGCTCCTTGCTCATCAGGGAGCCTGCTTCTCCCTCTGCCTCTGCCTGCCATTCTGTCTGCCTGTGCTTGCTCTCTCTCCCTCTCTCTCTCTGACAAATAAATAAATAAAATCTTTAAAAAAAAAAAAAAGTAGATGAGTGTTTGCCAGGGATGGAGGGTGGGGGGTGGGGGGTTGAAGAGTGTCTGCTAATGGATATGGGTTTCTTTCCAGGGTGACAGAAATGTTCTGGAACTAGATAGTGGTGATGGTTGCATAACCTTATGAATATAGTAAAACCCACTGAATTGTACACTTTAAATGGTGAATTTTAATTTTTTTTTTTAGATTTTATTTTTTCTTGGGGCACCTGGGTAGCTCAGTCAGTTAAGTATCTAACTCTTGATTTCAGCTTGGGTCATGATCTCAGGGTTGTGAGATTAAGCCGAGTCTGGCCCCATGCTCAGTGGGGAGTCTGCTTGAGATTCTCTCTCCCTCTGCCTCTCCACCCCTGCTCTTCCTCTTTCTCAAATAAATAAATAATTCTAAAAAAATAAAAAAGATTTTGGGGGCATCTGGGTGGCTCACTCTGTTAAGCATCTGCCTTTGGCTCAGGACATGATCCTGGGATCCTGGGATGGAGCCCTGCATCTGGCTCCCTGCTCAGCAGGGAGTCTGCTTCTCCCTTTCCTTCTGCCCCTCCCCACTTGTGCTCGCTCCCTTGCTCACGTGCTCTCTCTTTCTCAAGTAAATAAATCTTTTTTAAAAAAAGAAAGATTTTACTTTTCTTTGAGTCATCTCTATGCCCAATGTGGGGCCGGATCTCACAACCCTGAGATTAAGAGTCACACGCTCCACTGACTGAGCCGGCCAGGGGCCCCTTAATGGTGAATTCTATGTTATTTGAAGTGTCATGTGAATTTTGTCTCAATTTAAAACAAGAAGTACAGTTGAAGTTCTTAGAAGGCTACCAAGGCCACGGTGAGCCCTCAGGGAGGTTAGTTGCCATTTAGCTTAAACTCTGGGATTTGTAGAGCGGTCCAGATTGAGTTGATAGAAAAAAAATTCTTAAAAGGCATGTGACCTTTAGAGGTTGAATTCACATACTTAATATATGTTAAACATTTCTTGGGGCGTCTGGGTGGCTCAGTCAATTAAGCATCTGACTCTTGATTTTGACTCAAGTCTTGATCTCAGGGTCCTGGGATTGAGCCTGGTGTCAGGCTCCCCACTCAGCAGGAAGTCTGCTCAGCGCCCCCCTCCCCATCCCCCCTGCTTTGCCCTTCCCCCTGCTCATGGGCTCTCACTCTTTCTCTTAAATGATTAAATAAATCTTTTTAAAAAAATATTTATTTATTTGACAGAGATCACAAGTAGGCAGAGAGACAGGCAGAGAGAGGGGGGAAGCAGGCTCCCCGCCAAGCAGAGAGCCCAATGCGGGGCTCAATCCCAGGACCCTGAGATCAGGACCTGAGCTGAAGGCAGAGGCTTAACCCATTGAGCCACCCAAGCACCCCCTCATCTACTTTCTATCTCTATGGACGTAACTATTCTGGACATTTCATGTATATGAAGTCATATAGTATGTGGCCTTGTTTGTCTGATTTCCTTCACTTAGCATTTTATCCAGGTACATCCATGTACATCCAGGTACATCCAAGCTGGGGGATGTGTGAGTAGGATTGTTGAATTGTCCCCGGAACCTGCAGACCTTGTTCAAGATTAGGGTTGCCTGCTGGACAGTTTGCATCACTCATTTGTATTGCTCATGAATTGCTGGTGGTGGTGGACCCAGAGGAGGGGTATTTGCCTCTTCAGTGATCTAAAGCAACCTCCAGGAGCCCAGACCTTGCTTGTCCCCCACTGGTCCTCAGAAAGGCATTTGGCCTCTCCCTGGGGGCTTGATCGAAATAAGAAAGGTCATCAAAGAAAGGGAAACCTGTAAGTTGGTCAGGTTCAAGGGCAGACCTCTTCTACTGGAAGAAAAAGAAACATTATTCATTTGCTTTAGCTTATGTTACTTTGGTTCTCTGTCACATACACGTGAACCTAAACTTCATAGACACATGTGCTGAAACTCTGTGGAGTATAGAGGAGGACCTGCACAAGTTACTTTCTATGCTGTGGGAATGCTTGTACGGTTAGTGCTTTTTACAATAAGAATGTATTCGTGTGTTATTTGTATACACATGGGTTTCAGAGCCCTGGAGAATACAAACTCAGTGCCACCTAGGGGACCTGGGGTAGTCAGTTACCTCTCCGAGCCTGTTCTCGCATCTATAAAATGGGCATGATAATAATAGAACTTATCTCACTGGGTTGGTGTGGGGCTTAAATGAGCTAATGCAGATAGAATTCTTGGCATGGCTCTTGGCTCACAGCTATAACTACACTATATAACGCCACCACATAGGCCCTGTTGGTGGTAGAACCAATGAGAAAAACCCAGGACATACTGTTGAGTAAAAAAACAGCTTGCAAAATTGGCACATGAATATGGTCCCTTTGGTGAGAAACTATTTTTATTTCTGCATCTCTATGTATACGAATGCATCGAGAGACGCCTGGAGGGATGGTTGTCCAAATGTTAGTAGTGGGAACTTCTGGGGAGTAGAATTTTTGCTTTCTTCTCCATGGTTGAAAAAGAGCATTATGATTTTTTGAGCTGGAAAATAGAAAAAGAAACATCTTCTGGAAAACTCTAACAGTTCACACCAAGAATCATTTGCGCCTTCCCGCACTTTGACCCAAACTCTCTCCTTCTTGGGAACTGACCGGAGGAAAGAACTGAAATGAAGAAAGAAGCTAAATCCATAAAAGCACGTTGCCAGGGCATGATTTATAGTGGAGAAAAACGGGTAACCGCTTAAGTGACTTCCATCAGGGTAATAATTATGAAATGATTCACCCACTGGAACATCGCGCAACAGTTAAAATGAGACAGGACGGCCATGTAACAACATCGAATGAAGCTTCTGACCCAGGGAGAGGCCAAAGGGGCAGATGCAAAATGAGATCTGTGCTGGAGCCCAACTGGGCAAAAAGCTTGCATTCATTTGCCTTGCAAGGGAACACAGGCCAGTAAAAACCACTGAATGTGTTAGGGCCACTGATGGCTGGGGATTTTTTATTCTTTCTTTTTCATTTAGAATTCTAATGTTTCCATAATGTTATTTGTGTAATAATTTTTTTTTAAGCGGCTTTAAAAATCCCCTTAGAGAAAAGAAGGGGAAGACAGGGAGAGGAAGATGGGAGGGAGGGGCTGTGCATAAGAGAAATCGGATGGAATCTAGAATACAGGGCAACAGTTTCTGCTCAGCCTTCCACCTGGGTGGTCCCAGAGGTTGTGCCCACTTGGCTCCCTGACTTGAGAGGGATCAGATGGATGGAAGAGTTGCCGAAGTTAGGAAGGCAAGCCATTAGCTGACTGGGTTGAGGACTCTTTGGCTTGGGACCATCTGGAAAAGTCAATCATGCTTGCTACTGACAAATTACAGAGAAATGAGCACTAGTGAGCCAGCCAGAGGGGAAATCCAGGCAAACTTCCTGGTGGTTATTTTGGCACTGCAGAGCTCAAGGATGTGCATATCCTCAGAGTCAGTAATCCCACTTCTTAGGACTCATCCTAAACCTAAGGAAATGGTCAAGCCAGTGTGTACAAATATTTACCTAAGACGTCCATCACAGAGCTTATAAAAATAACACTTAAACGCTCAGGTCCACCAAAAAGGAACTGGAAAACCAAATTTTGGCATGCCCACGCAGTGGTACGCTATGGACACAGATCTGACGCGAAGAGATGCTCACCACATATTAGGTACGAGAAGGCTCCATGGCAAGACCGAGATGCTCCCATTTTTGGAGAACTGTGTGTGTAAACATGCTCATTTGCATGTAAGAATTCCTACAGACGCCCACTGGAATCCTGACGGTCATCCATCTTTCAATGGTGGGATTACAGATTGTGTCAGCTGGGGCGGTCTCAATTACACTGCAGTGACACCCTGAAAACCTACCGGTTTCCAACAACAAAATGGTGATTTCTCACTCCTGCTTCTATCTGTTGTGATCGGCACCCATATTCACTCTGGGACCCAGACTGACAGTCTCTACCCGAACGTGGCAGGCCTCTGTGGCAGAGGAAGGAGATAGTGCCACCCACACCCCAACCCCTCCCCGGGCTCCTACAGCAGTTTAAGGCCACTGTCACAGTCCCCCTAACCAGGTCCAACAGGGCAGGCAGATCCTCTCCCGTGGGTCCTCAGGGAGCAGCACTCAAGGAGGGCTAGTAGACATTTTGAACAATTAACGCAACCTATCACCCAAGTTATTCCCCCCTTGTCTTAGCACCTTTGGGCTGCTGTAACAAAAGTAACACAACCTGGGTGTGTTCAACAATAACTATTTACTTCTCAGTTCTGGAGGCGGGGGAAGTCCAAGATCAAGGTGCAGGCAGATTTCCGGTCCTCGGAGGGTCCACGTCCTGGTTTGCAGACGTCCACATCTTCTCAGGTGGTGGAGCGAGTTGGGGAGTCCTCTGGGGCCTCTTTTAGAAAAACTAAGGCTCCACCCTCATGACCTAGTCACCGCCCAAAGGTCCCACCTCCTAATACTGTCCCCTTGGGGACTCTGTTTCCAGGTATGAATTCCTGGGGGCCAGGAGCCAAAAACACAGACTTCATAGCAATCCTATTATTTCAAGTCCTTTTCTTTGCAGCATGTAGTCCTGTCCCAGGAAGGGGACGGCCTCGCTGTTGGTGCCTCTTCGGGAGGGAAAACAGACACCTCAAGTTCAGCTACGTGGTGCCGGGCAGACACAGCAGCTTCAAGCCTGAGGGACAGAGGCCAGAAAGCGGTCAGAAATCTGCCTAATTTAAGAGACAGGTTAACCGACCTGTTATGAAATGACGAAGTAGCAGAAAGTTCTGGATGTCCAGAAGCTTTACACCATGGTGTGCTACTTTCTCCTCACACGACTTGAGTCAAGAATCTCTCTGAATGTCCCCATGTGTAAAATGAAAATTTAAAATAGCTGCCCCGCGGGGGGTGCCCGGGTGGCTCAGTCAGTTAAGCGTCCGCCTTCGGCTCAGGTCATGGTCCCAGGGTCCTGGGATCAAGCCCCGCATCCAGCCCCACATCGGGCTCCCAGCTCATCGGGGAGCCTGCTTCTCCCTCTGCCTCTGCCTCTGCCTGCCGCTCCCCCTGTTTCTGCTTGCTTTCTCCTTCTCTCTTTCTCTCTGGGTCAAATACATTAAAAAAAAAAAATCTAAAATAAATATATAAATAAATAAATAAAAATAAAAGAGCTGTCCTGGGGCGCCTGGCTGATTCAGTCAGTAGAACATGTGGCTCTCGATCTTGTGGTCTCGAGGTCGAGCCCCATGTTGGGTATAGAGCCTACTTAAAAAAAATAACTAAAATAGAATAAAATACCATAAAATAAAATCGCTGTTCTGCCCACTGCACACTGCCTGGTTGGGGATGGGGACAACTCAGTTTAAGGCTTAAACTGGTAACACGGCTCTTAGAGCCCATGGAAGGTTTGGTCCCTCGGTTTGTAACCATACACTCAGACATACTCCACTTCCCCAACTCCTCTCATCACTTCGTCCCCAAAGTGGCTTCTTGTCCCCCTTTCATTTGTTCCTGTGCTCTCAGCCTGCTGGGTGGGAAGATGACAACCAGAGCCTCACTAGGGCAGAGGAGAAACCCCCTGATGGATGAACCATGGAAGGCCCAAGACAAAGATGGGGGGACCCCACTCCAACAAATCATGTCAGAAAGGAGCCATGTTCCCCTCGATTCTCCTAACGTCATCCCCTCAGGATGGAAGGGGGAAATGTCAGCGCTTCCCAAACTGGCCCACATGTAAAAGCTAGCGGCCGGGGTGCCTGGGGGCCTCACTGGGTTAAGCCTCTGCCTTCGGCTCAGGTCATGATCCAAGGGGTCCTCAGATCCAGCCCCGCACATCTGGCTCTCTCTGCTCAGCAGGGAGCCTCCTTCCGCCCCCCCACTCCACCTTCCTGCCTCTCTGCTTACTTGCGATCTCTCTCTCTTAAAAAGTAAACAAACAGGGGCGCCTGGGTGGCTCAGTGGGTTAAAGCCTCTGCCTTCGGCTCAGGTCATGATCCCAGGGTCCTGGGATCGAGCCCCGCATCGGGCTCTCTGCTCAGCCGGGAGCCTGCTTCCCTACCCCCCTGCCTGCCTCTCTGCCTACTTGTGATCTCTGTCAAATAAATAAATATTTCAAAAAAATAAACAAACAAAAATAATAATAAAAGCTAGCAGCCTTAGGCTCTACTTGCCAGAGATTCTGACTAGGAGGCTGAGAGTGGGAGGAGGCCCAGTCACAGAAGGTGATCCATGCCGCCCCCACTGGGCTCTGGCTCCTGTCTAAGCCCTCTGCACCTGCCTCTGGAGGTGCCCCAGCAGGGAGGGCCCAGACATCTCAAGTAGCACGAGCCCTGGCAGCTGGGAGAAACCTGAGTGTGCCTAGGTTATCTGATGGGGCACCTGCCCCAGCCCGTGCTCACTTCTTGGGTATCAAGCTCATGGGAAGCCTTGGGAAGAAAGGTGTCCGTTCCCCCCTCCCTCCCAGGAGCACAGCTCACCCTTCCAGCTGCCCCAGGGCCAGAGGGGGAGGTAAAAACACACAAAAAAAACAAAAAAAACCCGAAGGCACCCTTTCTAGCTCCCGGCCCTTCAAAACCAAACTCCCAGCAGGCTTAGCTCGCCCCGCCCATCTTTACCGATAACCTTGGGCTTTATCTCTCGACCCATTTATCAACACCAGCAGTGAGTTCCTCGAGGGCTGGGTGGGTCTTATTCCTCTCTGCACGCCCCGCCCCTAGCGGAGCACACCATTAGTGCTTGCTGAATATTTCATGAATAAAGGAGAGCTAGTAACACTAACCACCTAACCGCAGGGTCAGAGAAGGACTGATACTCACACCCGCTAGGTGCCCAGGAAATGCACGTGCTCCCACATCTGAGAGGATGCAGGGAACCCCATCCTTAGTCACCCGGCCAGAGGCTGCACTGAGCATGCTTCGATGAGCACCGGTACTAAATTATGTTTGACATCACAGGACCCTTTGATATGCTAAGGTAAGAAAGTTACAGAACCTCTTCACAGAAAAATGCCCCCTTCCTCTCTTTCTCTCTCTCTCCCCCTTACCCCTGTCTGTCTCTCTCACATACACATACACCCTGCATACAATTTCTAGGTTAAGAGTTTCAGCCCTTTGGGCACCTGAGTGGCTCAGTGGGTTAAAGCCTCTGCCTTCAGCTCAGGTCATGATCTCAGGGTCCTGGGATCGAGTCCCGCATAGGGAGGGAGCCCGCTTCCCCCTCCTTCTCGGCGTGCCTCACTGCCTACTTGTGATCTCTCTCTCTGTCAAATAAATAAATAAAATCTTAAAAAAAAAAAAAAAGAGTTTCAGCCCTTAAAAAAAAAAAGAAAGAAAGAAATGGGGAAAGCTCTTTTTTTATGGATGAATGGCAGTTACAAATGTGGACAGGGTGTTAGAGTTAGGAACGCACGTTCTGCACCTCCTGGTGTAGTCACTGATTTCCGCAAGGATCAGTAGGGAATGCTGACATCGTTGCCGCAGTGACTGTTAGGGAACAGGGCATTCATTTGGTCTCAAGGTATCACCCTACTAATAATCTATTCATTTCCAAGAAAAATGTACTTGGATGACGGGCAGGTTGGTCATCCACCCCCCTTCGTCACGTGATCAAAATCAGCATTATTGAGAGTGGGCTGACCTGCTATATTGTGTACCCTGAGCTACACAGTATCTGTGTGTACCTCCTGCCAGACTGTTTTACCTAACCCAATCATTAGTAAACAGATAACACCCAGAATGTGGGACATTCTGTAAGACAAGTGGCCTCCACTTGGAAAAATTTACTGTCATAAAAATAAACAAAAAGGAAGGAGGCTTTTTCAAAAGAAACCAAACATATGTGATGGCCATAAGTAAAGCATAAAATGTCCCTGGAGCCTGTGGCCTTCCCCCTCCCCCCACCCCTCCCCCCACCCTCTGCCCTGGCCAAGGAACTTGATGGTGTTTTGGAGACATTTGGGGGAAATAACAAAAAGGACCAGACGTCACTGCATGAATGGACACTTTCTCAGGTTGACAGCCGGGCTGTGGTCATGCAGGAGAATGTTCTTTTTCTTAAGAGATACAAGCTGAAATCTTTGATGTCTACACCTTTCTTTCAAAGGGTGCAGCAAAGAAAAAGAAAGAGCGAGCGAGCTGGCTATTCAGAGGTAAAGTAAATGTGGCCAGAACTTAGCAGTCAGTAACTCTACAGGCTCAGCATAACGTCTGGAAACATGGCTCTTTTCTCTTTTTACAGGTCGGAGATGTCCTTGGTGACATTCCGAATGCTCACTCTTTCCAGACTGTACAGACGCCCCGCAGCGAAGGCTATGTGCTTTACATTGAACTGTGCTTTTAACTTTTCTGTAGGCTTGGAATCTTTCAAAATGGAATGTACAGTGGGGGAAGGAATCAGCCCTGGACGAAGGCTCGGCCCCCCAAAGCAGGATTCTACCCTCCAGGGAAGAAGGCTGGACAAAGAAGACCAAGGTCAAGGCGGGCTCACTGAGTTTGTTAGGCTGTTTAAATAAAACCAGGCAAATGTTTCTGTAGGTAAAAGGCCAGGGGAAAATTACCAGGCTCTGGGTGTTCCTGAATTCTTTCTTCTCTCCTCCCCTTTCCCTGCTTAGCTCCCTCCCACCTTCACTCTCTAGAGGGAAGGGGTGTAGAGGGGAGGGAAGTGGGGGGTCGCAGGAGGGTCCTGAGGCTCTGGCACCCCAGATATAACATGGTTGCCCAAAGAGAAAGGGTAAGGCCTGCTCTGATCTTTCCTACTGTCCTCAGAGTCTGGCAGGCCGCTGTACTGGATGTAGGCATGGGCCCCCCAGCACACGCCAGGGGGACCTCTATGCCCTGCCCTATGTTGTAGGGACTAGAAGCCTGAAAGCTAGAGTTCTCAGAATCTCTTGCCAGCCAGGATTTGCTTTAGAGCCCACTAGCGAGAGGTACTTGCAGAATCCATTACTCCTTCTCTGGTGGTGGTGGGTGGACCTGATACCAGTTCCCAAACCAGAAATGTCCTCCCATGCACCTTGCTGTAGCCATGCCCCTGGGGATGCCAAGTCTGGGCACTGAGACAGCACCTGCTAGTGAAGAGCATCAGCCCTGCCCCCAAAGCCCACCTGGCGTGGTCCTGTGACACAGGAATGTCTGGTCATCCTCCTTGCACAGGGGAGGGAGTCCTCTGTGCCCAGGCTTCTTGGAGTAGAGGCAGAAGGGTCAGCAACAGACAGTCTAGCACAGCCAGACCCTCCCAGGAACACCGAAGACCCCTGGAAAAACAAGAGGCCTGGGTGTGACCGCTTCATCTTACCGATTTCAATCCTCGCCCTTCAACAGTATGAAGCCCCCAGCCACCCCCGCCCCCCCATCCGTCCTTTTCTCTCCTGGGCCCGTGGATCTGTAGTCAGGGCTCCCTGGGCCTCCTGGTTCCTGCCCCCCACCCCCCCACGACACACCTGTGATCCAGCAGCAACAGGCCCTGCACCAGCAGCACCTTCACCTCCTGGCTTACTCCAAACACGTCCCAGAGGCTCAGCTCGGGCTCAAACTGCCCCCAGTGCTGGGAAAGCAGAAGGGGGAGGGGTGCAGAGACCATGGCGGGGAGTTGGCCAGGCTACTCTGGTCCCCTGTCTGGGGGTCTGCACAGGGATTTCTGCAATGACTCATGCCATCTAGAGTGGGGGGGGAGGGGCTGCGGCCCTAGTCCAGGGTCCTCACCATGGCCCCACCCTGCCCAGCATTTCTGCCCATCAGGCCCTGGCTGGGCCAAGGCCAACCTCCAGCTGCCCGGCCCAGAGAACTAGGTTTGCATCTGCGGTGCCTGTGGGCATGCACAGAAGGGAGAGGGATTCTGCAAGACCTAGGAGAAGGAAGTGGTGTGCCACAGCCCCCCACCACCGCCTTACCTGGTGAGTGATCCCCACGTCCGTACGTAGCCCCATGGCCAAAACTTCCTCTAGCCTGGGAGAACAACCATCAGCCTGTCTTGTAGAGGAGACATAGGCCTCCCCCATACTTAAACACACATATAAGGACATGCGGGATGGGAAGGGAGGGGGGAAGGGCAAGGCAGGACGGCTCTGGGGGTGCAGGCCCCCCTCAGATGCTCACAGCTCCAGCCGGCCCAGGGGGACGCGCCTTCGGGTGCCATGTCCAAACCGCATCACCTCTTTCATCCAGTTATCCGGCTCCAGGGTCTGGATCCGAGCCTCCCGGGTGTGGCTCCTGGCCCCATGGGGCGCAAATCGCCCATGGGCCCCTGGCAACATCAAGCAACCCCATTTCAGTAGCCACAAAATGCTGGGTGCTTGCCAGCTCAGAGTTGAATCAGTGGTTCTCAAGATGTGGTCCCTGGACAGGTATCATCTAATATGCTAGACATGTCAATTACTCCAACCAAGCCCGCCCAATCAGAAACTCTGGCCGTGGGGCCTAGCGATCCACGTTTTAACAGGCCCTCCCGGTAATTCTGATAAACGTGCTAACAACTGAGAACCACAGTGCCAGGCACTACATCCAGCATCTCAAAATATGTATTCAATGGCTCCACAAAATTTGTGTTATTTGTTGCTGCACTTTATGCAGAAGGAAAGAGAAGCTCGGAGAGGTTAATAAGTGGCCCAAGACCACACAGCCGTGACGTTCCGCTCCTGAGTCATCCCTTCTCTGGTTCACGGTTCAGGTTCACGGGGGACTCACCGGGCCCAATGCCAAGGTACTGACCACACTGCCAGTAAGTCCAATTGTGAGTACTGAGCGCCCCCTGCGGGGAGGGAGGGAATAGTCCGTTCAGAGTGAAGAAGGTGGGCCCCTTTCTGCTAAGGTAAGGGCCACCTGGATAGAAGGTCCTAGCTGAGGCCTGGAGAGCAGCCAGCAGAAACCACCCTCCCCAGAGGGCCACAGTTCTCCAGTCCTGGCTTAGCCTGCCTGTTCCCCAGCACTTACATTCCGGGCGAAGTTGGAGACCTCATACTGGCGGAAGCCGGCCTCCCGGAGCATGGCCCGTCCCTCCTGGTACATTGCAGCAGCGAGCTCGGGGTCAGGGGCAGGAAGGGTGCCCCGCTGCACGTGGGTGAAGAGTGCGGTGCCCCGCTCCAGGCTCAGCTGGTAGAGGGAGATGTGGTCGTCACAGCAGCCCAGCAGCGTCCGCAACTGCCCAAGCCACGGCCCCACTTTCTGGGCGGGCAGCCCCAGCATCAGGTCCACAGACACACGGCCGGGGAAGAGGCGCCGCGCCTCTGCCAGTGTCTGCAGAGCATCGCGGGCCGAGTGTGTCCGCCCCAGCAGCTGGAGCTCGGTGTCATCCAGGGACTGAGGAAAGAGGGTCCGGTATAAGCACAGAGGCCAGCTCAGAGTCAGACAGGAACATGTGACCGACCTTACTGAGGACAGATACACAGGACGCAGCAGGGAGCCAGAAGGCCATGGTCAAGCCATGACCAAGGGTTATGGTTCACTGTGCGCAAAGCGTTTTTTTTTTTTTTTTAAAGATTTTATTTATTTAATTGACAGACAGAGGTCACACAGTAGGCAGAGAGGCAGGCAGAGAGAGGGGGGAAGCAAGCTCCCTGCTGAGCAGAGAGCCCGATGCGGGGCGTGATCCCAGGATCCTGGGATCACGACCCAAGCCGAAGGCAGCCGGAGCCACCCAGGTGCCCCCGCAAAGCGTTTTTAAACAACATGTAATGTATCCGATAATCCTCCGACATTAGCTCTACTTTATAGATCAAAAAAAACCTAAGCTTTAGATGTGTTAGGGGCTCTTGGGTGGCGCAGCCAGTTAAGCGTCTGCCTTGGGCTCAGGTCCTGATCCCAGGGTCCTGGGATCCACCCCCTCCTCCGCTCATGCTCTCTTGTGTGCTCGCTCTCTCCTTCTCTCTCAAATAAATAAATAAAGTCTTAAAAAAAAAAAAAAGAAATGCCAAGTAACTTGTCCAAGGTCACACAAAGACCTCGGATTTAGGACTGTCTGACTCCAAAGCCAAGAGTATTTTTAAGTTTTTCCTTTTTGAAAAATACTTTAAACCTCCAGAAAAACTGAAAGACCAGTACCATAAACACCTTCATTTAGATTCAGCAAGTAACATTTCACCACATTTGCTTTGTCTCTAAATATACTCGGATGTGATTACAATGTTGAATCATTTGGCAGTAAGTGATCGGCTAGCACTGACCAAAAGAATTTTCCGGGATGACAGAGATGTCCTCTGTCTGCACTATACAATACAGCAGACACTAACCACATGTGGCTATTTAATTTTAAGTTAGCTAAATTTTAATAACCATATTCCAAGTGCTTGCTGACATGTGGTCAGTGGCTACTGTACAGGTCACTGCAGATATAGAACATTGTAGTAGAATATGCGAGCCACTGACCACATGCTAGTGAGCACTTGCAATGTGGCGGCTTTCATGTAATTAACTTAAACACTGTACCCCTGTACCCCTAAATACTCAAGTGCGCATTTCCTAAGAACAAGGACACTCTCTTACATAACCACAGTCCGATTATAGAGTTCAGGAAACGTAACACTGACACGACACCATTATCTAATACAGAGTCATATTCAAAGCTGTCCCAATAATGCCCACTGTAGTAACTTCCCTTTGCCACCCGAATCCAGGATCCAACTGGGTCACACACTGCAGTTAGCTCTCATTGTTCCTTTTATCTCTTTGCATCTAGATACTCACCCTTTGTCTTTCATGACATGACATTTTTGAAGAACACAGGCCAGTTTTTAAAATGTCTCTTAGTAAGTTCTAGAGGCTTACTGTACAACACTGTGCTTAAAGTTATTAATACCATACAGTACACTAAAAAATTTGTTTAGAGGGTAGATTGATCTCAAGTTATCTATTCTTACCATAAAAAAGTCTTTTTAAGAAAAAAGTTTATTTACTTAAGTAATCTCTACTGTGGGGCCCGAACTCACGACCCTGAGACCAAGAGTCACATACTCCACTGACTGAGCCAGTAAGGCGCTCCCAAAAAAGTCTTTTCATTTAGATTTTCCTGATGGTTCCTCACAATTAGATTTAAGATATGCATTTGGGGGCCAGAACAGCTTAGAAATTATGAGTCTTTTTCAGCATATCCCATCAGGACAAAGCCCTGACCCCAAACTCTATGGTAAGTGGTAGATGTATCAGAAGACTAGACAATACTGGATATGGAAATACCAGGAGTCAACCTGAAAAGAATGTTTCTCCCCTACTTAAAAACCTTCAACAAGTCCTTTATCATCACTAGGCAAAAACCCAAATTCCCTAATATGATGCTCAAGGCTTTTGGGCCCTACCCTGCTGCCTTGCCTCCAGCCTCTCCAGTTACAGAATGACTCCTAGCTCCCCAGAACATGCAAGACTCTTCCATATCCTGTGTCTTTTCCTCCCACACCCTCTCGTGGAAGTCTTCCTCCTCATTCAAAGATCAACTCCTCCAGGAAGGTGTCCAGGATTTCACCAGACTGAGATGCCCTTCAGGGCTGTACTCTGAAAGCCTTTTCTTGAGACTCCCTTTATCGGCAGCCTTTTCCATGCTTCAATGATCTGATGACCAGCCCGCCTTCTCCTGTGTCTCCAATCATGCAACAAAAAATTTTGAGTGTCTGCTATGTGCCAGGCACTATGGTGGGTACTTGGAATACTGTGATTTAAAAAAAAAAAAAAAAAAAAAAAGGCATGCATGATCCCAGCCTCATAGAACCTGTGGTCTAGCACAGCAGCAATTAAGCAGTGATAAGTGTCACCATTCACTTTCCCCTGCCTCCTGGGCCCTAGCACCTAGAGGAGCTCAATTAATGTTTGCCCAGTTAATGAATGTGACCAGAGGAGAGACAGCACTGCAGGTGTGGGTGTCCTGGGATGCAGTGGGTGAGATGGATTACCTGAAGCCCAATGGACAACCTGTTGACCCCTGCTGCCCCAAAAGCAGCCAGCCTGGAGCCTGGGGCGGAAGTGGGGTTGGCCTCCAGTGTGACTTCGGAGTCTGCAGGCAGGTGAGCTGCCTGGTCCACGGCCTCCAGGACAGCGGCCACGGTGCTGGGACTGGCCAGACTGGGGGTTCCCCCACCAAAGAACACAGATTCCACCCTGGGTAAAGAGGAGGAAGAAGATGAGACCTGAGGGAGTCCTCCGGGACGCCAGCACCGATCCTAGCTACTCCCTTCAAACAACTTTCAAGACCCTGCCTACAGCCCCAGTACCGACCTCTGCACCCCGCTGAGTCGCAGCAGTGTCCGAGCCTCGGTCACCAGACAGCTCCGCATGGCTGCCTCCTCCACGCCGCGGGGGATGTATTTGTTGAAATTGCAGTAACTGCAGCGCTTCTCACAGTACGGCCACTGGGGGGCAGGAGTGGATGAGCGGGGCGAGGGGTGACCCCAGGGGCCCTGGCTCCTTGTAGGGTTCCGTCGCACACATCCCCATCCCAAAGTCATCAACAGCGGCTGCACCATCTAAGCCACCTAACTCCCCAAGGCAGGTGGGACAGGGAATATTATGCCCACTTCATTAGGAGAAAACTGAGGCTCAGAGGGGAAATCACTCGGTTAAGGTCATGGAACTGGTGAGCACCAAAGGCTTCAGGTCTCTGATCCAGGGCACTTTCTTGCCAGGGCACCGCGTCCCGTCCCAAACCTCGTGAGTCTGGGTGGCTTTCCTGCACCGCCGGCGGCCAGGTGGGCTCTGGCCCGCCGCCGCCGCCCCCGCCCCACTCACGTGCACGTAAAGCGCAGCGCGCGAGACCGGCGGCCCACGACTCTGGGATCCTCTCGCGTACTCTGCGTAGCGGCGCCTCTGGGCCATTTTGGCCGCGGCTCTGCAGCCGCGGGCCCGGGCCCCGGGGAGCGCCATGGCGCGCATTGTGGCGGGGAGAGGCGGGTGCGCCGGGACATCCGGCCGACACGCGCCCGGGTCGCACGGGAGTGCGCCGAGCCGGGCTCGCTGGGCCTCTCCGGCGGAAGGAAGAGCGGCTGGGTGACCGCGGGCCTCGCGTCCCGAGACGTCCCGGCAGGGCCTGGGGCCTCGCTGCTGCGGCGCCACCTGCCGGTCACCGACGCGCTCTCCGCAGCCGCGTGTCCGTCTTTTTCCAGGGCGGGGACGGGGCTCAGCCGCGGTCCTTTTTTCACCCTGTCCGAGGGCGAGTTCCTCGACCCACCCAGGAATTCTGAGTCCGTTCAATCAGTTCCTTCACATTTTATGTGCCTGGCTCAGGGCTGGGCACTGGGGAACATCCAGATGCACAAAACCGGGTCGCAGTACAGATACTTAAGACAGGAGGGAGCCAAACCAGTAAGAGACAAAGGGCGACAGATGCTAATTAGGTATCTGCTGGATACCAGGGCAGTGTGCTCTGTGTTATGCTGCGGATCTGATGCGAGGGCCGTGGAGTCAGTGGGGGAAGGAGAAGGGTTGGATGCTGAAGGTGCAGAAATTCCCAGGGGCAGCTGGCTTGGCCAGGAGAGTAAGCTTTTATCTCCTGGATCCGCCCAACCTGGCCACCGACTGGGAGAGTAGAAGGTGGTGTATGTAGGAAAGAGGCGGTGCAGGTGAAAGGCTGCAGAAGCAAGCACCTGAAGAAATTTGATAAAGTGGAAAGATCATGGGCTTTGGAGCCAGACAGCTGGGTTCTAATTCCAGCTGTGCAGCCTTGGGTAAGAATCTGAACCTCTCTGAGTTTCTAGTTTCACTATTTGTGATATGGGGATAGTGCCTACTTGGTAGGGTTGTTGGGAAAATTTCAAGAGAAGATGCATATGAAAATATCTAGCACAGCGCCAGGCACTGGAAGGATCCTGAACTTCCACTGATTTTCTGAAAAGTAAATAGGAGGGGCGCCTGGATGGCTCAGTCATTAAGCGCCTGCCTTCAGCTCAGGTCCTGATGCCTGGATCCAGTCCTGCATCTGGCTCCCTATCCAGTGGGAAGCCTGCTTCTCCCTCTCCCACTCCCCCTGCTTGTGTTCCCTCTTTTGCTCTCTGTCAAATAAATAAATAAAATCTTAAAAAAAAAAAAAGTAAAGAGGAGGCTGCTGCTGGAGGGGGCAGAAACACTGGGAGGTGAGTACAGAAAGCAGCAGGAAAGTTTTGGCCTCTGTGAGCTGGAAACCGATGCTCCTTTAGGAACCCAGCTGTTTTGTTTCTTGGGTCAAGCTCCAGCATGCTCGATCTGACCTCGCATCAAGGAAGCCCCAGGCTCATCTATTTAAAAAAGATGGGTTGTTTTGGGGGTAGGTAGGGGAATAACAGAATGTGGGATGATAACTAAAGGTTATGGAGTTTCTTTTTAAGGTGATGAAGATGTTTAAAGTGGACTTTGGGAAACAAACGTAACATTGTGTGTCAACTGTACTTCAATGAAAAACAATTGATTTGGAGGATGATTCCACATATCTATGAATACACTAAAAACCTACATTGAGTAAGATACTTTAAATGAGTGAATTGGATAGTATATGCAATATTATCTTAATAAAGCATTTATTGGGGCACCTGGGTGGCTCAGTGGGTTAAAGCCTCTGCCTTCAGCTAGGGTCATGATCCCAGGGTCCTGGGATGGAAGCCCACATCCGGCTCTCTGCTCAGCGGGGGGCCTGCTTCCCCTTCCCCCGCCTGCCTCTCTGCTCACTTGTGATCTCTGTCAAACAAATAAATAAAATCTTTAAAAAAAAAAGAAAAAAATAAAGCATTTATTATTTTTTTAAGATTTTATTTATTTATTTGAAAGAGAGGCAGTGAGAGAGAGAGAGAGTGCGCACAAGTTGAGGGAACCAGAGAAGCAGACTCGCCGCTGAGCAGGAAGCCCAACATGGGGCTCCATCCCAGAACCCCAGATCATGACTTAAGCCAAAGGCAGATGCTTAACTGACTGAGCCACCTAGGCGCCCCAGCTTTTATTGTTTTAAAAGGAATACTTCTTGCTGGACCAATTGGACAATGTGAAAAAGCAATGAGTATACCTTAAAAAAAAAAAAAATCAGGTCGGTATCTCAAAGGGATTGAATGAGCATTAAATTAAGTCGATAGATTACGCTAGAGTACTTAGCACCATCGTGACAAGGAATGGGAGGTCTGAAAGTGCCTCCTCCCTTCTCCAGCCCATAGCAGCTGCCAAGACAGCACGCCAGCAAGAGACCAACAACCAAAGAAAACACAGAAACTCTTTATGTCAAATCACAAAGACAGGCGGGAATGTGGGGGAAGGGCAGGGAGGGCCTGGGAGGACCCCGCCAATCCCCTATTCACAGGTTTAGATGTTGTTCCATCTGCTCTCGAAGTTTGAATTTCTGGATCTAGAGGAAAAAGCACAGAGTGAGAGCCAGGCTGGGGCCTCTGCCAGCAACAGTGACCAGCTGGCTTGGTTTGCCTGAGACTGAGGAGCCTTTAGGGTAAAGCCAGGAAAGACTGGGACAAACAAGGATGAGCTACTTGGTCACTCTACTGCCAGCCTCTGGGCAGACTCTTTTGCCCACCGCTGAGGGAGGCATTGGTGGGACCATCTAGGCCTTCTGGGAACCTAGGACCCCAGGACCCCCTGCCCCTCTCTGGTCCCTTTACATACCTTTCCTGAGACGGTGAGGGGGAAGTTTGTGACAAACACAACATAGCGGGGAATCTTGAAGTGGGAGAGCTGCAGACCAGAGGGAGATAAAGCGTGAGGGTGGGTGAGGTCATGGGTTTAGGGAGATGGGGTGCAGGGGAAGACTGGGACAGTGGGACCAAGGGCTGGCTGGCTGGCAGGGAGAGGGTTGAATAATGAAGCAACATCAGCTTGAGGCTGGTTGAGGCTCCCACCTTCCCTTTGCAGAAAGCCTTGATCTCCTCCTCTGTGGTCTTCTCCCCCTTCTTCAGGCGAATGCAGGCACAGATTTCCTCCCCCATCCGGTAGTCCTTCACTCCCACCACCTTCCCCCACCAGAGACAGAGATTAGAAATTGCCACACCCATCCCTAGTTCCTGCTCCTGAGGGCTCACCTGGGCTCACCTGGGCTCACCTGGGCTGGGTGTCTCACCTGTACTTCCTGCACCTGCGGGTGTGTGTGAAAGAAGTCCTCGAGCTCTGTGGGGTAGATGTTCTCACCGCCCCGGATGATCATATCCTTGGAGCGGCCCACGATCTTGCAGAAGCCCTGCTTGTCCATCACGGCGATGTCTCTGCGAGGAAGCCCAGGAATGGCCTCTCACCTCTGCTTCCTCCAACTGGGTCGCTTCCCTACTCGTCAAACATTTATTGAGCACCTACTGTGTATCTTGCACTGCTCTAGAGTCTGGGGGATATAGCATGAACATGACATTCTGTATATATGCTTCTCATGGCGGGCTTTTTTTTTTTTTTTTTTTTTAATCATTCGGGTCTCAGTTCAAACATGTCCACCTTACAGAGGCTTTCTCTGACCCCCCTCCCTGCCAGTCTCAGAGAAGCGCCCCTCTCCACCACTGCCACTTTCTTTCCTCTGACCCTGTTTTACTGTCCTCGTGGTGTTTAGACATGTGGAGAGTAAGAGCAGACCCTCATCATCTTGCCTCCCCTTGGACGGCCAGCATCCTGAACAGCGCTAGCCCTGGGAGGCGCATGAGAAGAACTTGTTCCGTGGACAGATCAGTGAGTCTTGGCTTAGATTTTGCAGACACGGTTCTCCCTGTTTTAGTTTCATGTTTCCAGCTCAGCCTCCGACTGCGTCCCCTCCCTGCCCGCCCAGCCCCAGCCTCACTGCAGCCCCGAGCTGCCTCCTCACCCTGTCCGGTACCACTTGTCCTGTCCGATCATCTCCTCGGTCTTCTGGGGCTCGCCCCAGTAGCCCAGCATGACACAGTACCCTCGGATCCATAGCTCTCCGGGCGTGTTCAGCTCCACCAGCGTCCCCGTCTTCACGTTCACAATCTGGGCCTGGGACCGAGCAGCCTCAGGCTGGGGCCTCCTGCCGCTTCACCTTGGGGAGTGGGGGGAGCCCTCGGGGACGGCTTTGCCTTTCCACCCCCATATCCCCCGGCTCTGCCCATCCCAATCCAGGGAAGGGAGACAAAGATGGATCCACCGCCAGCCAGACACCTGGATGGGGCTGGAAGAAGGGCCCAGGCGAGGAGGTCCTGGGCAAGCAGAGGGGGCCTGTGGAGGGCCAGGTCAGCTGAAGAATTACAAACTGTGCAGAAGAGAAGGGAGTCTCCTCTTATTTCCCTTTAAGCAGCAAATAAAGAAGCCAAAGAGGTGGTGTGGCCGGGCCATGTGAACGGGAGGAGACAGAGAGCTCTCAGACAGAGTCTGAGAGCCCTAGTAGAGAAAGGAGCCACAGCCAATGTGCAAGAAAAGCCTAGTCTGTGTGCCTCGGGGTCTGCATCTGAGAAATGGGGAGAACTCCGCCTGCCCCTGTCTGTCCTGCAGGTGGGCATCCCAGTGAGTGGCAGTGAGGCAGTCAGGCCCCTGGGAAGGGGCTGATGTCGCTGCGCACTCACTCCATGGAGCAGGCAGGAGAGGTCTGCACCAGGATGGCGGCGAGCCTCTGGAGAAGGGCTGTGTGGGCAGTGACCCCAGCAGGGCCGGGGGAAACCAGGCACAGGCTGGCCTCAAGCACCCATGTTGGGGCAGGCAAGGAGCCACGGCTGGGCATTTCAGAGGGAGAGATGCTCTGGGTCAGCCTTCAAGGTGCAAGGGGCCCTCGGAGGGACAGGCTGCTTGGGAATTGGAGTGTTTATGCCAAGCAAATGGAGGAGCTCTACGGAAGGCGGGGCGGGGCGGGGGGGGGGGGGGGGCATGTGGGAGAGAAAGAGCTGTGTAGGAAAAATCGCTGTGCTCTGGCTCCTCTTTGAGGCTGTCCTGGCCGCCCTGAGACAGACAGTGGGGCTTGGCAAAAACACACCTCAGACAGGAAGGGAGGCTGCGGAGTTCAGCCAATGCCCCAGCTCTTCCCTCTCAGGCCTCAGCCCACAGAAAGAGCCCCAGGCCAGGCCAG